TGCTTCGTATTTAATACATGCAGTTCTAGCATTTTGATAGAAACAGTTCTGCATTCTTAACAACTCTCTTTCCAGACTTGGTATGTTAATTCCTGCAATTAATCGATCCCTCAGCTGTACACGAAATTTATCACTAAAATTGCATTTGACAGCTTGTCTTTACAATTCATAGATGAATTATTTAACCTTTTGGTTATTCTCACGAATAGTCTTATGAAAATGTGCTCCCTCAAGACATTCAAAACTGGTGCACTTGACATGATTTAATAGTAGTTCCTTAAGAATTGCATAAGGAGGTGAGATAGGCTTTTCTGGATATGCTATAGTCTTTAATAAACTGTAGGCTTCTTTTCCAATGAATGTGAGGAAATGTGCCACAATTTTATCACCCTTCACATCTTTCTTGATCATGCACCAAATTTCGAACCTTTTTATTTAATACTCAAAAGCTTCAGAGTTTTAATGAATGTCCAACTGTTCCATCACAGGCTCCATCGCGACATCAATATGATAAACAGGGATATCTGAATTACTACACAAACTAGGAACCCCAGAAATAACACAATTGAACAAAGAAGAACTAGATGAGCACGAACGAATGTATTGTATTCGGAATTAGAAATCGGGTAATTATCAAGTACAAAGGAATCATTAATTCATACAAACACTACATGTTTATCCTGATCAAAATTACTCAACCATTGAAAGAAAACCCTAAAATGTTATCTGATACTGATGACTATAATCTAAAAATGGATCAGTAACTTGTGCTAAAGCATTTCAAGTAAATAAAAACATTGTCAACTACACTGAATTCACTACTACGTGTACTTAAAGCAAGTATCACATATTTGGTCCAAGTTTATTCTTTACATTAATCAGTTTCTTTTATTTTCATCTTATCTATCAAGTGATATGATAATCTTTTATTCGCTGCTATTGATTAAAATATCTGACAAAACGAAAGATAAACAAATACCACAATACAGCTGACGTCAAAGATTTTCAGGTACTGCGGTCGTATCAAAGAACCTTTTGATGGTTTGATCAGTTTATGATGAGGATTTTACTTCCCATTTAGATAAAACTCCATTTGCAGTATTACTCCTAACCAGAAGGTTCATTCGTCATTAAATATACAAATCGTTAGGAACCGAGCTTCTCAGGCTATCCAAATGAAAGGCGACTGAGGGATCTAGATCTCATCCCTTTCTATTTTCACATAACTAGAGGTGGTCATATTTCAGCATTCCGCAACTTAAGTAGTGAATTGTATGCTAAAATGACTTGTCTATTGGTTTCCTTTTGAGAACAGTCCTTCGAAGCTATTTCTAAACGTTTCAATAAACCATGATCGAATGAAATTCATTTTGTTAAGAAATGATGTGAGTGGGGATAGTTTAAGGGTCGTGGGTGTATACTTCTGAAAAATCCGATGCTGAAAAAAAAACACCCAAGCAGTGGTATTTGGTTATCACTGAATCCCTACGATGTAAACCCTAAACTTCGTATTTCAAAATACTTCACCAACCATTAGATCTCACAACCAAAAAAAAAACAGTATTAGCTAACTCAGTGAACGCCTACAAGAAGAAAGCGGGTATTCTAAGAATATCAAATAACCTACTATCCTTGTTTCTAAAGAATGAACTCCTTTTTATATAAATTAAACAGTCGAATTATTAGACCTTTGTTAAATTTCTGAGGCAAATCATAATGAACAATAAATTTCAAAGATGAGTAGTTACTTCACTAGTGACATAAGTGACTCCACTGGTGATGGTTTTTCATTATAACTTTGGAAGTTAATCTTGAAGCTAGTCAGTAGCTGCATATAATTATTAGAGTTGTACTATGTAGAGATTCGTCTAATATTTTAATTTGAAGTTTAACTTTCTTTATCACTGAAATGCAGTATACATCAGTACATGTCTGTAATGCAGTTTTTTTTAAACCATCTATTTGTTTAAGTAATGTCTATTTGACTGTTAAATATGTAAAATCCAAAATTATAATGTATAAGAAAGAGATCGCTTTGTGCGGCCTATAAAACGTACCCCATATGACCAAGTAAATTTATAGAAACACATTGATGTGGCCCAAAGCGGAAGTTTATCCTTAACACATCCAAGAATGGTAGGCGAGTTTGACAAAACAATTCGGAACTTAGCTGTTTTATTCAACAATTTCGAAATCTATTTATTTAAGATTTCAGAATACAATCCGGTTTGACTTTTAAAAGGTGAATATAAGAAAGAATTCTATTTTCAAATGTATATACTGATTTTTGTTAAAATAACTTTTAGAATATACTTCCATTGTATGAATTAATTTAATATGTATATTGTTTATTTAAATTTTCAGTGCATTTTTATTGTGTTAGTAAATTAAATGATATTGCTTTATGGTAAAATTAATTTAGTTTGCCAAATTCATTAACTAGTCATCAATGAAATTAATTGTGATATAATTCAATGCACTCAAACGTGAATTAACTCTTGTTAGATTTTAATCATAAAACTTTTTTGTTGTTGACAAGTTTGAACTTTTTAGTTAATGAATAGGGATAAAGAAGATAGAAGTTTCATTAATTCTCTATTCAATTTGGTATTGTGAATTAATAACTTAAGGGAAAATTGTATCACCTTATTACTAAATACAAATTACTTTTTATATAATGTAATTTTAGATAAATCATGACTAAACCATCCAGCTTAGAGAACAAAACTCCATCAAGATAAATCTAAGAAATAGACAATTAGGAAAAGTCAATGAAAATGGATAGAACAAACATTACGTAAATCATCAAACTGCATCACGAGGCAAGGCCTAACTTGGAATGCTGAGGGGAAACGGGAAAGAGGAAGACCGAAGAACACATTACGTCGGGAAATAGAAGCAAATATGAAAAAGATGAATTGATCAGGACAGGGTTGAATAAAGAATGATGGTGAGCGGCCTACGCTCCTTCACGAGGAGTAGCAGACTTAAGTAAGATGATAGGAACAAGTGAAAATACTGATTTTCAAGAATATATTTCTAATATCCTAAGTGCTATCTGGAACTATTAGAATAGTATATGCTTAAAAACGATTTATTGATTCCTTTAATCTATTTAGTTATTTATAAATACCTTTCATTAAAGTTTTTCAGTATAACAATCATTGAATATTAATAACTAAATATAATGAATTCCAACTTCAATATAAGTTACCATCCTTAAGATTTTTTTAAACTATCAATAGTATCAGTTTGTTTAAAGATAGAGTATACAAAACTTAACATGATACGATTAGCAAATGTTTTTTATAAAATCAACTCGGATAAAGTGATGACGAAATAACAGAACTTTACACAGACGTTATTCTTAAATGTAAATGAATTGTAGAATGTATAGATAAATTATTCAGCATAAAACCATGGAAACCGATTATCAGAACATAAGTGTATTTATTTATCTGTTATCATTGATAAGCTATCCAATCGACAACCGTACATCAAAATGTAAATAAGTAATTAAACATATATCCGTACTCTGATTCCTAGATTACACACGAAGGCTAGATATGTTGATGGTTGAGTAAATGCGTAAACCGGTATCACGAAGCTGGGTTTAATACTCATTTTTCCTGACTCCTTGCTTTTTCAGTCCTTATTTTCTTTCTCTACCAAAAATATCTAAAATTTAAACAGGTTTTTTAATATATTCTTATCGTAGAGAGAAACTCAGAAAGTTTGTGGTTTGAATAGGTGAAACAATAAGAGCTGTTAGTCGTGAATAATAGCGCCCCAAGGACCAGTTATGGAAATTCTAAAGTTCGATTTGTCTAACAGGAAATTAAGTTAAACCAATATCGATACTCATTAGCATAGAGTACTAATGTAACTGAAATACTAGTTGGACATCATTGTTTTCATTTGGATTTGACCAATAACCAATTACAAGAACATGCCCCTGATTGGAGTCCTATATCTTATGAAAGGCCTACTGATACTACTCATATTGAGGTGGAACTTGGAACCCAATGGTGGAAAACTAATTGCTTTCACCAGTAAGCCACCAACCAATAGGATATCGACACAATTCTACCTTATTCAATATTGTACAAATAAACGAAGATCACAAGAAACCCCGACTACTACTGATAGTCCTCAAATGTTATAGTTATATTATTGACTCAATAGTGAAGTACACTAATTAATGATTATTACAGGTGAAATGAAACACTTTTAAACTAGCAAGACGAAGATGCTGTAAACCTGATGGCCTAATAGTCAGCTAAGCTTGTTCACTACAGTAATACACAGATACTTCCCTAGATATTTGATCAGATGTAGTTTTAGCTGTTTTTGTTATACGCTAATATTCCGTACATTGAGATAAAAACATGTCGCTCCATGACAGTTGAGTTAGTTTTTTTCAATACACCCTTTACGTTTGTATTTCAGAATAACCCAGTTTTCCATATATGTAGTTTGAATACCAACTTCAGCTATAAAAATTAATTCATATATCCTATACAAAAATAATTGAGTGCATTTGTCGCCACACTGATGTCGTTAGTTGCCAAAACAGGTAATAATTTTCTCCGTGATTATGGAATTTTCAGATTCTAAAGCGCAAACCTGTCTTAGATAGATCGGCATTAAAAACCAAGAAACAATCGACAGCTGTTTAATCCTGATATGGAGCTCTACAGCAGTGCGTGTCTGGGAATCCAACCCCAACGTTCGATCTTGCACGCAAATGTCTACCCATTAGGTCACTGATAGAGCTGACCAAAAATGGATTATTTTTACATTAGGGTCTAACAATAAATTATCATCATTAATCCTGAGACGTTTCGGATAATTAATTGAGCATCTTTCCATCCAACTCAGTCATTAAGCAGAAAAAGCCAACAGGTAATAAGAATACCTACCAACTCTTTCAATACGTGCTCGTTTACACTACGTACCAAAAGCTTCCCTTAGTAACCATTATCAATGATAACCAGAGTAACATCAGTAATAGATTTTTAAATCAATTTCAACAGTGAATAATTGTGACAATAAAATTTATGTGAAAAGAAAGTATTGCCTTAAGTATGGATTACGACAAAAATATTGTCTTATTATTAATAATCAGAAAATGTATAAAAATGCAAAATAATGACGTTATGAATATATATCTTGATAACTGGTATACCATGGTGAGTATAACAAAATGGATGAATGAGAACAAATATAATGTGATTTTAGAGATACATTTAAATGTCATAAATAATTTTAATCACAACAGATAGGCAGAGTGGTTTTTAAATGATGTTTTTTTCTGGAACCAAATAGCTGAATGAATAGTAAGTTAGAGGAAGTTTAAATTATATATAAACGATGAAAGGATAACCACTAGTTTGGATGAAAATCAACATGGATACCAGAAAGATAATCAACTCAGATGAATATATATATTTTTGTCGAGCACTAAAACATAATACGCTAAGAAAAAGAATTTATTTCTCCAATCCTACCGGGTACTAAGACATTTTGTATCGTTAAAAAAGACGCACAATCTCAAAACACAAAATGCACCAAACATAGATAATAGATGCAAAGTGTAGAAAACGTTAAACGAAGTAAAGGAAGTACAATGCAGCTAACAATGAATTGATAATTTATAAAGTCAAATGAACCATATATGTATTGTCAAGCGTACTTCCTATCCCACACACGATCATAATTACTTGCTATTGTTTTTCTGTCACATTAATGAGTGGAGCTATCTCTTGGTTACCCAGTGAGTTCAAATAACCATTCAGGTAATTAACATCACTTGGTAAAAATTTATGATATTCATTATTACCACTACCATTACTGCTATTATTATTCTGAAAATCATCATTACAAGTTTCTTCCTTATTTAATTGATCTTCAGAGAAAGCATTCTCTGAATAATGATTATTGTTTATACTATTTTTCAATGTATGATCATTACAGATTTCAGAGTTTGTAGGATAATCCTTTACTTCAGTAACTCTCACTGTACCAGCTTCGCGTTTGCGTTTTAATAATTTATATAAACATAATAAAATAGTTATAATAAATATAATAAATATCGAAATCAATAGTATAAGTGATAACCAAAACGTGTTGACGTATGCAGACAGCACCATAGTAATCGGTTGTTTAGAAGTTTTTTTCCGATAACCAACAAATTCTAATAAACTTGTATTCTCAAATTGATTTAAAACATCATTTAGCATTCGATATTCGTTTTCAATCTGAAACTTTGTATGTGGAAAGCTCATAGGAGGTGTAGATGAACAATTTTGCTCATCCGAACCACTTATCGGACAATTCAACACTTTATCGCACCATAATCGCATGGGTAAACAGATACGATAAGGCCATTGCAAAGGAGAGTTGCGACGTTCATTTATTTTATCAAATGTATCACAAGCAAAAAATCCCGATGGACAGGTAAAAACACCCGGTGGTAAACGATCTAAATTATAATGGGAAATAACAGAAGTAACAGAATTGATACCAAAATAATTATAATTCAACTAATCGATAGTATGACCACAAATACAACAATAAATATAGTAGGTATAGAGTAGTAATGTTATTTAATATGACTTATATTATTTTGTTATGAGGATCTTAAATTACATCTAATCTCAATTACTGTACGTTAACTAATTTCTGTGGACAGTATTTTAGGTACAGTGATTTGAAGGTGAAGATAACTAGATTTTATGATAAGAATAAAAAGTATTGCTTCATTTCACACAACCAGTCATCAATCAGTCTAAACAACATAAAACTTGGCAAAAATATGCATCCACCAACACCGCATATCATTACAGTGATAAACAACAACAAGATGAAAAGCAAATAAGAAGAAATATCATCTTCAATGGGAAGCTAAGCACAAAGTATTTAGTTCTAAAGGAAAAAGTGATGTCATGTAACGAAAAGTATGAAAAAATTATTAACTCATGATTTAGAGGAAAGTTAAAAATGAATAAAGCTACACCAGTGTGATTAGTTTTAAGCGAAGCCACTAAGCGGCTTAGATCGTAAATCACAATCATCCCACATGTCCCACTTAAATGGGGTATTTGTAACAACTGAAGTATCTTAGATAAATATCCAGTAACCATATGAAAAGATACCATAACTTGATCTGCCTGGCCTTAGCTCTTCATGAACGTCAATTGTATAGCTGATTCATATGACTATCAGTCATACATGGTCGCTTAACAAATCTTACACTGATACAATGGTTCAAACAACATACCACAGTGAGAGGAAATTTATACTAGCAAAGAATCATTCCCATCTCCATTATGATTTGTTTCCATATCTAAACTAAAGAAAAATGAGTCAAGTAAACTCGTTCTAGAGGGTGTAGCCATAACTATTCGGGAAAACCTGAAGATAATTAAAGTTTAGCTACCTATCACAGTTGAACTGATTTCAAGACTCCCTGGCTCCAATTATTAAACACAACTCTTGGCTTGTAGTACGAACAGCACAAAAATTACCAAAAATAGGACTATAGGAAATTTTTATTTGAGGTAAAGAACAAGATGTTGGATAGATCAGACCAAATAAACTTACAGGGTTGCTATTGGATGACAGAGTGACTGAGTGTAATTTAATCAATCGGCTTTATAAAATAGCCAACAGTGATTAATGGAGACTAGGACCAAATCGTTTTGGATGCTCTTCTCTAAAAATGCAGTGGGACAGTATACACACGAGTTTAAAAACCTGAATGACTGACTATGAAGCCACACAAAATGTTTGCTGTTTATAAAATAGCATTATATCTTGACATTGCAGAAAAACCACCTGTAAATAGACTTTTTCGTGCAAAGGGATTAGTTCAAATAGAGCTTGAAAGCCAAACGATTTCTAACTTACAACCAGAGGTGACAATTATATGCATGCTGTTGTTATGTACACCCGGATATTCACCAACATTGTTAACTGAAACTTTCAGACCAGTAGCAAGTGGGAACATGAAGAAATAAGGGTCACTGATTTTATCTTTGCAACTCCCGCTAACCTTAAAAATAAATAGAGATCTAATTAGCATTTGCAGTGACTAAAATTAAATTAAAAAACCTTCATAATGCCAATATAATTGTAGTCTATATGCTTTGTCAAATAGTTTCCACTTACTATCTTTACAAACGAATTTTACAATAATTGAGAGGGGGATAGCATCTCATGAGTTGTAAAACATTGTTTTTAATGCTTGCGAAGATTTCCAAACACCTTATTTGCTTTCAATACTTACTCAAAATGTTGAGTACAACAGTTTTAGGGTGATCCAGAAAATTTCTCGCAAAAGACAAGGATCAGGAAACACTAAGAAGCGTTTCATCCAATCCGCGTTCAATCAATGTTTTAGCCAGAAATATCAGGGAAGTAAAACGTCACATGTAGAGATTCTGATTGGCTGATTGCTATACTGCTAATATGTTTAGTAGCATTTCAGAATCTTCGAGCAACCCCAGGACATTTAAAATATTATAAAAACCCTATATTTTCTGTATTGAAATGAACCTTGGAGTGAAGTACATCTCGCATACTTTGCGTCATCTCTCTCGTGTTCAGGTCGCCGTACAGTTCTAGTTTGGGGGTTACAGAGTAGCTTAGGAAACGAAAATAGCGTTCAATTTGCAAGAATCATCAAACAGGACTGTAAAAAATATGCCGTATAACAATTTTGTGGACAAATTAAAGTTGGACGGTTATCTAGAAGACAAAGAACGGAAGTCAAAGGCATTAACGAAGCAAAGAAACATGAAGATGGAATTCATCTAAATTGATTCAACCTGCTATTTTTGGAGAATGAAACAAGAAACAGTAGGATTGACAACGATCTATATTCTGTACTACTTTTGATGACGCCTAGAGCCTCCAAGTTGAGTGATTCCTTGGGTCCATCCGGCGAACTATAATGGAAAGGCGAGTGCCAATTCAACACAAATTTCTTCTTTCATAGAATTTATTTATTTAAACATAAACATCAGTACAAGGAGGCACCAAATAGACATGAGCCACATAAATCACTCGATTTGTGAGAGGGCTGGAATAGTGCCCAGATGCCCGAACCGAAACAGAAATACACGAAGATTATCTCTTCACCTATTGTACCTATTCCAAAAGTCGGAAAACAATACGCCGCACGAAGGCTAGTATCTTAGCGTATTAGTATTGGTCATATCATCTCCCCTAACTTGAACACACTACCAAGCCTTAGCATTACTTATACAGTGTTCCAACAGAATGATAATGTTCTAGTATGACGATGTATTTGTTTGCGTCTTACTAGAATCAGAAAGCCACAACAAGAATATCACATAGAGTTTAACATAATGATATAAAAGTCAATACCAACCGACCTGAATAGAATTTGAACATAACCACCCCGACTATAAAAGTAGGAAAAGCCACAGCTAATCTAAAGTGAAGTAGAGTAGTAGGCTCTTATGGACTAACTACAAAGATCTTTAAGGATGGTTATTCAGTTTTAATTGTTAAACTGACTGAGATGTTAGATAGAGCCTGGGAACTTGGCTGAATCCCATCTAATTTGTTTTGATCACTAATCGCTTCGGTCTACAAGAAAAGACGAAAATCCTCTTGTGATAGCTGCAGAGGAATCGATTTCATTAACAGGCTTTCAAATATTAGCCACAATAATTATAGAACGCTTAAAGAGGGCACGTGAAGTATAAACACGGGAAAACTAGGCTAATTTCCGGCGTTTATCGAGGACAATTCTTCAGAGATAACACTGATAGTTTAACCAATCAGCAGCCAACCTGCCAGATTCTCTTGTTGACTTAAAATACCCGGCTGGTATGGTTTCGTTTGGTGGAGACACCAAAAGGAATTCAGTATTCTGATCTCCTTGGGCAACGATGATGGTTGAGATGTGTTTCTCTCCATCAGGACGTAAATTTTGCCACAATACACGAATTCATCTATGTGAGCATATAAACATTGATACAAGGGGGTTGCGAAGAGATAGAGAAAAAAGGTGGGTATAATTAAAAGAGAACAAAAATGAACAGAAACTAGTGGATGATGATAATAGTAATAATAGTAATAATAATAATAATAATAATGATAATAATAATAATAATAATAATATAAATAATAATAACAATAGTAATAACAATAATAATATAAATAATAATAATAGTAATAATAATAATAATAATAATAATAGTAATAAAGGAGGGACAGTCCAGTTAAAAAACACAACCAGAAACGATCAATTCACATAAAGAAGTAACCCTCACTTTTACGCAGAAAACAAAATAATGTGAAAACAGGACCAACACTGGTTCTATTATGATCCATAGGTTGATCTAAATTCTGAAGATTCATTGCTAATGATCTCGAAATCTTAGATAGCTCACAAACATGTAAAATGATAATCTACAAAGGCAAAAGATTATCATTAAGTATCCAGTCAACTGTCTTGAACAGATCTTCAAGCTTTTGATAACTGGTATTGCACATTAAATACATGATGTGTTTAGAAATACAAACCATTGATCAAAATCAATTTCAAAACCATAAGAATTTGATAAAAATGAAACTAGCGATAAGTTCTAATGATAGCAAAAACACAAATAAAGCATGAATAAATATGTCTGTTTCATTAACACACTACTTTAATACAACTAAACACAAAAACATTTCTAATCAAATTGATTTAGTACATTATTTAAAGGGTCGGTCAACAGATACCGCATAACTCGGAATTCAAAATATGTGAAGTACACTAGGGAATGTAATTCTAGAAGTTAAAATAGAAGAAATATTTTAAATAAACAGTTATAATGTAAACGCTATTAAATTTTATGTAGATTTAAATCTAGGTAATTTTAGTTCTCTAAAGCACGATCCATTGACAATACAACTGAGATAAAACAGCTTATTCAAGTCATCCCCATACAACTTTTTTCATATCACGACACCATGTCATACACTGACCACCTCTCTGATTTTTTCAACAACTCCCAGTGTCCGCAAATAACCAACCATGGGAAATTCGTTGGCATGACATTCGTATTAAATATCTAAACAAACCAAGACAGTGTTCCAAGATGTTCACACCAATTGCATTATCCTCACTGTGTCTGAACACACGTTCCAGAACCTCTAACATTAATGAAATCGTGTTGCCACTGAATGTTACAAATACTTCCCAGACAACGATGATCAAACACAGAGAGTCACTTAACATCCTCAACTCGGTCAGTTCAGGATTAGAAAGCACATAGCACAACTACTCTAATCCACGTGTCGTAGATCCAACCCTTTACACCCGGGATAACAAAACAAAAGCATCAAAGACTGCACACGTCGAAATAACACAAACGAACTTCTATTATACGTGAATTGGTCTCACTACTCACGCTACCACCAGCATTTACACAGATACACAGACACTAACAACAGTGAGTGAAGGGACAGGCTTCTGCCAGTCTTCTAATAGTACTTTGCACTCAGAAGGTGCAAAATAAATCCCATACCCACAGATGCTGACTGCCAACTGATTGAGTACGCATTGCATGGCTTGGATATCGTCTCAAAGTAAGACAATATCATCCGTATACCCAAAGCCGAAAAGTTTTTCGCCAGGCAACAGACCGACATCGCCATTACTTGTATCCATCAGAGCTGTTTCCAGAACGTCATTAATGACAAAGTTGAAGAAAGATGGTAAGATTGGGCAACCCACTGTTTAAATGAAGCAATGGAGAGAGGTGGTTGTAGGCCCTCGCTCTGCCTGATGTGTCTGTAAATGGGGCCTTCAAGATGTTAATGATAGCTACAACTCGGAAAAGTTGTAATCGCCCCGGTACGGTCGAAGGTGGGGAGTCTACCCTCCCTCTCGAAATGCTCTCACATGGCCACGCGCATAAAGCCACAGTCAGGGAAGTCCTACACACTGCCTTCTCGCGACGGGGGTGTTGCTTACGAAATGTAAAGGACGAAAAGCGAATGCCCGGCGCTCTAACTGGTTTGGTGGATATGGAGGATCCACATAGGGGAGTTGGAAAACCCTGCTTCCAAACCAATGGTTCACATGGCCTCCAAAATCCCGAGTGGAGTATGACTCAATTATTGGTCACCGGCTACCATGGGACTGCATCTCCTTACGTTGGTCCATTGCCTTGTGGATCAGATTTTTAGGTCGAAGGTTCCGGGTGTGGCCCCCCTAAGAAAACCACTCGCTTCGGTTTGGGCATCCGGGCAGTATCACAGCCCACACACAAATCAAGTGGCTTGTGTGGTGCATATGTATTCGGTGCCCCTTTGTACTAATATTTATGTATTCAAATAAATAATCAATTCTAATAAGTAATACACAAGAGCCAGCAGCAGGGTGCGCAGTAGTTGAATACATTGATAACTTCAATTATATTGGAAGCGTCATCAGCCCTGGTGGGTTAATGTCCAACGAAATCTCAACACATACTCAGAATCCTTGGTTGGCGTTTGCCAATTTGCGTCAGTTAGTGTAGATAAGATATCCATTTTCCAACTAAAGGACGAATATAGTGTGCAGAAATTCATTCTTCTACTTTGCAGCTGCGAAACGTGACCTTTAAAAATAGATATTAGTAGATTACTAGTATTCGATCAAAGGTGTCTTCAAAGTATTGCTAGTATATTTTGGGATCACCAGGTTAGGAATTTTGAGGTCATATGCAAAGTACTACATAAGTATGGCAAGTCGATAGAGAAGGTGGTTAATCTTCATCAATTGAGGTGGTTGGGACATGGATCACGTATACCCGTTCACCGACTACCTCGATGGCCGACAATGACTCGTGTATAACGATATTGGAAGTATGCTGAGGGTGTCCAAATCAAGAAATGACATCGATCCATGAAGACACTGACTGTCAGACTGAGATATTCAGGTAGGCACTGTTATGTTTGAAGCGATTACGAGTTCACCAAGTCTGCGAACAAAACAAAGACTCTGTGACCAAAGACCAATAAGCTAGCTATTCTGATGCGACTCAGCCCCACTAACTAGAGAGAAGTCCAAGTTCGAAACGGAGAAATATATTCCGCAAGCAACCAAACGTATGTATACAGTCTGAAACTGTCCTTGGGAAGCGTTACAGAATAACATACTAAAGGATACAACGAACCAATAGCGTTTAAGATTCTCCCAAGTGGGAAATACGATATGAAGATGAAAAGAGCGCTTTCGGCGCGAAAACAAAGAAATTCAAACTTTCAAAATAAATTTACAAAATTAAGGTGTTTACTAAGTGAGTTCTGGGAATCTAACATCCCCAACACCTCCCCTTTTTAATAACGCACGTTCCTGGGGTCCACTTGCATCTTGGCCGTCTGTCGCCGTTGTCGGAGTGACCAAACAATATCTTCAATGCTCGTTCTTTCTAATTACCACCAATAGTATTATTGCTTCTATTACTCTGGTATTTGCTCTGACAATTTTATCTCATGTTGATGGGGTACAGCAACTTCAATTAATGTACACATATGCTAGGTTATACGTTGAGCATGATCGAATGACTGAAGAGAATGAGAACAACCATTCAGACAATTACGACCAAATAAAGGAGATCGTTGAACAGCTCGTGGTCGTAGTGTCCAGGTTTCCCAAACACAGAACCGGCACCAGTGGGGTGTCATACTAATAGACTTTACGACCAAACTGAAATTGCGACGATCCTGAAGATGGCTTGGATTAGTATAGACTCATTTGGTTTTCGCGATATGTAAATTGAATTCATTTGTCACACCGGCATCAACACCAACACAGGTAACTACCAAAATACACGAGCTTCTCAACTATTTGTGATGATTAGATACCAAGGGTAAGGTTAGGTACAGATCCAAATCAACCTTTTAGTAGCGCTTTACATTTCGGTGGTAAAAAATTCACACCACAATTAAGCATTTAATCGACAACTGGTCGGAAGCAATTTGACTGACCATATTATCGTACAGTTTGATCTTTTGTGAAGACTTGAGTGTAGAATCCTGAGAAGTCCAAAACTAGTACAGAATAACCAATGCTTTGCGATTAACAATCGCCCTCTAGCTGACTGACTTCACTGCAACCAAGTCCGAAACAAATTCAGTTATAGCTCTGAACGTCCGTATAAAAATCAACATTCTTGCAGAAGTAGGATAATAAGAAAGAATGTCAAAGCTAACCGGAGTCAGTCAGTCAGTCAGCTACAACGTAAGATCAGGTACATATATGTATCGGTCCAAGTTGTTATACCTCATTAGCACAACAACATCAACACTAAATTCATAGAGGTAGTTACTTCAATGGTAGTAATATATAAAAGAAAGATTGTGTATAAGGATGTAATACAGGAACAAAGAACCGGTTCGTAGAAAAAAAGGTATAAAGTAATTTTAATCTCAAGGTTTAAAGGAAGACAAAGAGTGTATACACCGACGCCAATGTGATCGATTATGGGCCTTGTCACCCACAGTCTCCAAACACTGATTACGATAGTCACGCAGACCACTAGCAAGTAGTCCGCATCTTCTAACATGGCTCAGACCAAAAGTAAGTTACTTCAATGACTGATGCCACCTTTTGGTTTGGCTACCCCTAACTTTCTTCCAGCCATCTTCAATACTAGTCAGTACTGTGCGTCGTGGTATACGCTGCTCAGGCATACGTGACACGTGGCCCAACCATCTCACTCGATGAAGATTTACAATCTCATCAACTCATTTACCATCATTCCCTAATAGTTTGTGTCTAACCTCATTATTACTTACCTGGTGATCCCAGCATATGCGAGTAATATTTCCAAAACATCTGTGATCAAATACTAGTAACTTACGAGTGTCTTCTACTCCTAATGGTCACGTTTCGCAGCCGTAAAGTAGAATAGAACGAACTGCTGCACAGTAGATTCGCCCCTTAATTGATAGACGAATATCTCGCCTTCGTCATAGGTGTTGACGTAAGTTGGCAAAAGCCAAACGAGCTTTCTGAGTCAGTGCAGAGATTTTGTCAGACACCGACCCATTAGAGCTGATCAAACTTCCAAGATAAGTGAAGTTGTCAACGCGTTCGACTACTTCACTCCATCCTCAGTTCAGGTGTTGACGCAGACCAGTCCTGAAGCGACAACTTGCATTTAGAAGGGGACAAACGCATTCCAAACATTCTGGCATTATTGCTCAGTGCTACCAAAAGACTCTGCATTTTATCAGAGTCTTCACCAAACAGGACTATGTCATCTGCGTATTCTAAGTCGAAATTCAGTGGACGACAACATTGTTTCCATCAGTACGTCTGTGACGAAGTTGGACAAAACTGGAGATAGTGGACAGCCTTGCCGGACATCATATGAGGTTACAAAATCAGATGACAGTTCGACATAAGCTCTGATTCGACTGGTGGTGTTCGAGTAAATAGCCTTCACAAGGTTTATGTACTTCTGAGGTACACCTTTAAATGAACTCAGAGGTACATAAACCTTGTGAAGGCTAACCGAAAATCAGAATTCCGGAAAAAAAGAAATGTATTTATTTTGACAAGTGGACAATCTTTTAATCTTGTTATGAAATAATGGACAGGTGGAGTGATGGGTTAGTAGTTAAGACACTAGTCCTTCAACAAGTCTGAAGTACGAACCTAGCTCCACTTACCGCAGTTTGAGGCAACGGATAGTACCATTAACCAACAAAAAGTGACTTGAAGTTCAATAAACAAACATGTACTAGACAAAGGAATTATATGAAAATGATAAACAATAGGATAATGGTTCTATTAACTTACTTCACCTAAGTCAGTGTGACAAGTCGTACTATTGTGTCCATTATTAGGAATCGCACATACATATACTTCAGGACAGGTGGGTTCTGACGAGAAATAGAGGCGATGTGTTGCGAAAATAAGGATGGATCTGTCGTTCCAAATGGAAAGATCAGGTAGGATGTTTAGGTTCGTGTAATCTATTATTGAAACATTTGTGGAATTATTATACGGGAGTAGTTCATAAGGAAATTGAAGATCAATAGGTGAATTTACACTGAGGATACTGTCAGTAGTATCTAAAACATCATGCATAGGCGTCAAGAAATTGTAAATACATGAAAGATGTGATATCGTAGGAGAAATAGTGATTTCTAGTGATAAGTGCCTTTCCGATGTTGATGGACAAGAATTCTGTACGACGAGTGTATCTACAAAGTAAAAAACCAAATATACTGAGTGCAGAAAAATACACCGAGATCAAATCGTTTTGAGAATATTGTTAATGAGCATCCACATCCCAACGCAAAGTCAGAAATTTAGCACCGAGTATAACAAAATAAAGGTGGAAATAAAATCACTGTCTACCGGACCACCTAAACAGTACCCCAATACTGTTTCCGCATCTAACTTCCTGTTGAGACAGCAGACGACCAAAAATATGTAGCGGTCAATAAATCCCTAAAATAAATAGTTCTGTAGGTCTTCGACATTTGATGTTGACCTGATTAGTTTTGATGAACACATCTAGCTGAGGCTGTTCGGTTACGCATCCGCACCAAATCACGAGTGGGTACGCCGTGCTACTCACCCCTTACAACCGTTAACCAGCTTATACTAAATGCTTCCCAATATGTTGATTGCCTTCCAAATATATCTTCGAACCTCTTCGTTTTCTGACTTCTGTTTCGACTAGGCTGTCATACTTTTGTGGCCCGTGGATCTGACTCCTATTTAGATCGTACGAATGTTTGTTATCGCCTATTCTCGTATATAATCGTCGACTTAAATCACGTTATCCAATAACGGAATTAAATAAGTCGAATAACGAGAATTGATTTGTGAATGCATACATTTTGTAAAGGTGTTGTCAAACTCCGAAGACGTGACATCTTTAGTAGTGAGGTCGACGTGGTCTGCTACACCAGTTCTCAAACTGTGAGTCTGTTCCTTATTGGAACATAATGTATCACTTTTTGATATTTTTCGCTTATTGGTATATTAAATCTTCATCATGATGGAACAAACACTTAAGTTACTTAAGATCAAACGTCTTTTGTCTCCCACCATCCAGTTAACACTATTCTGACCCGATAATACAGAAGCCTGGTTCCGGTACGTAGAAGCTGACTTCCACGAGCACGGCGTGACACACTCACTCGCACAATTCGCAGTAGTGAAAGCACTACCAAGCGATTTTAACAGGTACGTCACACAGTATGTTTGCCTTACGAACCTTTAAAAAAGGTCTCAGCTAGATGTGTCCATCAAAGCTAATCAGGTCAGCATCAAATGTCGAAGACTTACAGAACTACATACTTTGAGGATTTAATGACCGCTGCAAAGAAAACAAGTCACGAGACAGTATGGTTTCGGGGACTAGTACATTGCAAACTAGCTGCGAAACCTCTAAGTGTTTTACAAGACAATTTAAACATCAAGCAATAAAGTTCACATGGGAATCGTAGGGTACAGAAACAAATCATCATACGCTAAGCCCTCTTGGAACTTTAAAATACCACACCATTGCATTCAAACTTACAATTTAGCTCTGCACCATAAGCAAATGTGGAGCTAATTACTTGAAGACTATTTCTTAAAGGTTATTGTACAAACAACTTCGAACACAATTAAAGCAACGAGCTGTGTACGACAAAACGAGTTGAACATATGAAACACAGGGCTCAACAGAAAGGATTTGATGTCGATCACTGCCTTTCCTTTAACTTTTCAGTGTTTGTTGCCAACATATAGTTATATCAGTAAAATACTTGACATGGATAATACTAGTAGGAAGGACCGTCTTAACACGACCCTCTCATAAGTATAAGATGCAAATAAGGTACATGAAACAAGTTCTTGTTTATTACAGAAAATACATGACTATATATATACATATATTCAAGCGGATGACATAAGAGCTCAGTTGTATAAAACACAAGACCAAATGCACATGAAGCAGGGCTGAACAGCACGTGTATGGTGATGGAAATTGCATGAAAAAATACAGTTCACAAGAGACCAGATATGGAAAATACAACTAACCTGAGAAATCTTTAGAAGTCTTTTCAACGTATGAATCTTTGGACAGTAGCATGAGTATAATTATTCCGAAAAATATAAATAGAGCCATTTTGTAGTCATCTGTATCAAAATTTTCAATATCGCGTCGGCGCCGATTTCTCCTATAGGCTTGCCCTCTTTGGTAATAAACCCGTCTTTGTGAGTAAGATACCATAAACTTTGTTCTTTCCAGTAGACAAGCAAGCGACTATTGCACTGCGGAGAAACCAACGACCCTTAACCTTGAAATTAACACACTAGCCAAGTATATCGTATTGTAGTTTAAAAAAAGCCGCCGACTTATTCTTAGCGTTAAACGGAATCAGTGGATCAGCCTACTGTAATCGACATAATGATAATGATCAATTGATTATATGTTTTGTTTCTCGAGGTTTCGTTCTTCATTTTAGATCCAGTTTTGCCATGAAATCGCGCTATTTAAAAATGTTGTCTTAAATTTTATTGTGCCCTAAGGTGTAACGTATGAATGTATACCTACTTAAACTGAACTTTCAGTTAAAGTAACAGAGAAGTCTCAGTTTTCTGTATTCAGTGTTTGTCACTTTCATATCTTCAAAAACACATTCCAGAGGTCAGGTTTGCTGGGATGAAGACTTTAGGAAAACTATGTCAAAGTTGATCAGAACAGGTCTTGCAGAGAGATGAGTAATTTTTCGTAAGTTAAGTGATTCTTCTAAAAAGGGTTTGAAGGCTAGGTTTCAACACAATCCAATCCACATTATCAGTTTCAGTTTGGAAAGGATCCCGCCAGGCGGGATCGTGGATGTGCACTGCTGAGGAGTCCCACACTGGGATGGAACGGCCGTCCAGTAGTTCTAGGTTTTCCATGGTGGTCTAGCTTCAACTGATTCATGAGTTCAATCAGTGGAATTTCTAAACTCTCCACAAAACCCCTCCTGATTGTTAAAATGTTGAGATTTTCATAATGAAACTTTTTTATCACTAGAAAACATTTGTGTAGATTATTGAGTTTGAAGTTTATATTATAGATTTAATGTAGTTAGATAATTATTGAGCACCCAAAAACAGCTATTTCGTTTTAACATGGATATTTGATTTATTGGTTAGAAAGGTAATGCGATAAGATGGTGGTTGGAGGTAGTCAATAAGAAACCCTGCACCTAGGTTTCGTGCTACTTGAGGGAAATGATTCGCCGTGACGAGTGCCAAGTGGCACGAAACTTAGGTCTAGGGTTTCCTGTTGACTACCTCCAACCATCGTCTTATCATAACATAGTGCACGCAATGTCGAGTCATTTACACTAGTTTAAGTTTGGAAAGGACAGGAGGCTTGGTGGCCTGTGTTAGTCCTGAAAATGATGGTCTCTCAGTTGTTCGGCTCTTTCTTTATAAAGAGTCGACAGATAGGGCTTTCATTGAGTGTTAAGGTAATGAGTTTCACTCGTTGATGATTCGATGGGAAAGTTGATAGTCATCTGACAAGTAATTTGTTCTGGGTTTGTGAACGTTGTTGGAGTGTCCTCGTAAATTCTCTGTTTTGGAAGACAAGAAAAATGAGGGCATATCAGGTGCGAATTGATCACTAGGCAATTCGAAAACTGTAATCAAGTCACTTCTAGTTCTTCGCTATGACAGCGAGAAAAGGTTTAGCTTGGCCAGTCGAGCATCATACGGAAGCTTTGCTATTCCGGGAATCAGCTTAGTTGCCGTTCTCTGAACCTTTTCCAGAAGATCACTGTATACAAAGTCAAAAACGTTTTAGCGTCGATATGGCTAAAAGCCCTACGTATTGACCATAAGGTTCTAAAACCTTTGGTGGCTATTGCACGTCAGTTTGCAGTAGTCTTTAAGTTTTGGCTAAAGATGACTCCTAAGTCATTATGTGTCTGGATAACAGTTAGCTCAGTGTTATTCATCGTGTATGTATCTGTACCTTGATGACCGATGCGCATCACAATACACTTGGAAGTATTTATCGGCAACTGCCAGGTTTGAGACCATTCAGGTAATCTCTTCAGGTCATTTTGGAGTTCTAAGTTCTCACCCTTATTTCGTATCGATCTCCATATCTTTGTCTAAGGCTTTGCTGAAGTCAATGTAGGCTACGTCTACAGGTAGCTTTTGGTCCTCAAGAGCGCACCAACTTTCACAATCCACTAATAAGTTAGTGAGGCAGGAATAACATATTCTAAAACCATGCTGCTTCCCTGAAAAGATCCAGTTTAAATCGAGATTCTTAAATAGCTCCTTCAGAATAATTTTTTCTAAGATCTTAACAACCACAATAGTTAGGTTAACCGGTCGGTAATTCTCAGGTTTACGTTTCGTACCTGTTTTGAAGACAGGACTTACTATGGCGTTCTTCCAGTCTTTTGGTAGATGACCCTGGGTTATGGATAGATTAAAGCATATACCTAAAGAGTTCGCAACGAAGCTAGCTAGTTCTTCTAGTAACCTAGGATGCAGTTCATCGGGCCCCGTGGATTCGCCTATGTCAAGTTTATTTAGCAGACCAAAGACATCGAGCTCTTTAATGGTCACAATCTCCAGAGTATGTGTGTGGGGATTTGTACGAACTGACGGGAAGGGCATTTCAACTGCATATACATTTCTAAAGTAGTATGAGAATACTTGAGCTTTACCAAAGTCATCCTTCACTAATGATGAAGCAGTACTGTCTCCCCATAGTACTAGAATATTTCCTCTTATTGTCATTTGGTTTATATACGAATAAATTCCATTGATTGCTTAACGATTTTCTCTTCGTACAAGATTTTAGACTTACGGAGGATCGAGTCACAGGTATTCCGAGCTTTTCGACACTGGGATTTCGTCTCATCAATTCCACATCCTTATTCTCTTACGGAGAAGAATGCGAACCCACTACTGAACCATGGTGGAGAGTTTCTCGTGCTCTTTAACGTTGTCCAAGGGATGTGGGGTGCAGTAACTTTTAAGTATAAATTTCAAAATACGTCACAAGCCGTTTCTAATTCAGGACTCTGGCTCTATTTTTCAATCTACTCACGATGCTGAATGTATATCTTGTATGTTTGCGTTCTAGACGTTGGGTCTGGATTGAGCTGATGCGCTCTAGTGTTTGACAATTATATGAAAGTCAGAGGTGAATTTTGCATGATCAGTTTTACCTAGGGGTAGCATATAACCGAGGTTCGTAACGTCATCCTCATAATGTGTCAGTGTAAGATCTAGTAAGGATGTTTCGTGCCTTAAGGTAACCCTCGTGCTATTGATAGAAGAAACCAGAGAAGTAGTGAATAGGTCTTTATTTCGATCTCAGCGCGACGACAGTGGAGCGTGGGATTATCTGTTCAGACAAACAAAGGCTCTCAACATTCAATATAAGATAATAGGGAATATAACGCTTATACAAAACAAGGAAGTGGATGAATACTTGAACAATACTGTTTTGGCATATGCTTGGTTGTTTGGGGTCAACTCTTAACCAACCAACCTAAGCTGTTACATTAGCTTCCCCCTAGAATCGACTTCCGTAGGAACGTCGGTTCGATTAACCTAACTATCGAAAACACCTTAATTCTATTTCTCATCCCAAGGGAAAATTATCAACTCGCTCACTGTTTGACTTACAATCAGTGACAACTGACGCTGTCAACGATAGTCCATGGATGTCTCTTCTTTACTAGCTTGTCATCTTATTTTGTAGCATGTGATTTCTTCTACAACTATCGCCGACGGTTTGCTGCATGCTTTCAAGAGAAAGTGTGAGAATGTGGAATAAGAATAACTGAGGAAGTGCCGCGAGCGGGCTACCCAACACCATGTTGGTGAGGTACGATTTTTCCGTGCTCAGACCGGCTATCAGGTGTTTACTCACCTGCCTTTTGAGTCGCCCTCAAGTAAAAAGTAAAGAAGAATCTACTTCAAAGGTAATGGTGAAAATCAAGCAAACCTGAAGAACTGCTCCACTGCCTGCATAAAATAATAAGATACAAAATGGAAATACATAAATGTAATTGATAATTGTTCTGTCCCATGTAAGTGCTTGGCCTCCAGAACGGACTGGTATTCTGGAAGGAAATAGATATAGTGTAGATATCTTGTGCACGAAAAACCATGAAAACAAAAAAAATACTCTTTTGTAATGCATATATGTAAAAGGGTGAACTTGGTAGAAGTTGGACCCTTTAATAAAATCGATCAAACGAGTGACCTTGAGCCTGTGATGACCGCGTTTTACAACTAGGTGCGTAACCAAGGGTGCATCAGAATACTCCACAAAACGGAAAAGAATATACGGTTAAGAAGCAAAAAAAAATGTGTAGAGTATGCGGATCAAGTACAGTTGTGTCAAATACCCTTTTCTTGTTTGATTTAGGTATGCATGATATATTGAAGCAATATATCGTCAATTCATCCAAGTAACGAATTTGTTTGCACCTCAGAAACGTGTAAGTCCTATTATTCATTAGTATTATGAGTGATTAATTGGTGTAAGGAAATATTGAAGTCACTTCCTCCGTGGTCTGATGTGGCTTAACGGCTAAGCACGCGGTCTAGCATTCAGGAGGGCAGAGGTTCGAGTGCGTGTGGGGCCTGCGTTTTTGTTCACCAGACCCACCTTCAATACGATGATTGTTGCCCGTAATTCGCGCACATATGAGAGAAAAAATTACAAGAGGACAGATTGATATATCAAAGTGCCATATTGGAAAAGTATAAGTTCTTTGTTTACATTAATATTATTATTATAGAAAAAAAACTACAAGTTTAGTAAATTTCCATTTTACGTTATATATATATCAGTTATTGACATAAAATGTCTTTTTTATAACGCTAATGTTAAGTTCCAGGACTTTGTATGGGCCACTAATAATAATTGGTTTAACGTTAGCATAGCTGTGATATTCATATTAGTTCAATGTTGTGATTACTTAACAGTTCCCTTATAAGTTGTGTTTAAAATTAGGTATGTGGAATCAATGCGGCTAACATAGTAAACTTACAGTGACGCACTGTACTATATCTTCACGGTTATTGATTCTTAAATGTCAGAAATTTTAAAAAAATCTGAATATTGCCAATAAACATGGGTTATATGATCACACTAAAAAGCATGCTGCAGGGAAACTGGTTAAGTCATTACGTAAGTTTCCTAAACATGAAAAAAAATGATGAGAGCTTTAATAAGTACTTGACCATGGTTCAATCCAAAATGTTTTGTCTAGGAAACTACTTATTAATAGTAGTATTAATCGTATCAAGCTACTAAACATATCCTCAACCGAAAACTTTTAGAAGTAGTTCATATGGTATCTATGTATAGCCAGTCTACG